GGAGAGATGAGGAGATCCATCGGGCCGGCGGAGCTCCAGCACACGTCCCCTGGTGAGATGCACTGCGCACCCTGGTGGCGTTGGGAGATGTGCCTGTGCTGTTGGCCTGCCAGATGCCCTGAGGGTTGTTGTGTTTGCATTGCTGCTCTTTTGGTGTGTTGTTGGGGGAGAGCCGTGGCCAAAATAACTCCATCTTGGCTCTGCAGGGTGCTACAGGGTTTGAGCAAGGATGTTTCTGCCCTGAGATTGGAGGAAGCTTCAGTAGCCAACAGGGGAGGACAGGACTGCTGGGTGAGTCCGTGCTGGACTGTATGTGGTGTGCAGCTGTGATCTAAGGAGGTCCTTGGGAAGGTTTTGATCTGCTTTCATCCTCTGAATGAGTGGAAGCAGGTTGGATATCAGGAAGAATTTCTTCTCAGAAAGAGCAGTGATGCAGTGGCACAGGCTGCCCAGAGAGGCGGTGGGGTCACCAGCCCTGGAGGTGTTCAAGGACCACGGGGACGTGGCACTGAGGGATGTGGTCAGAGGTATGATGGGGGTCAGTGGTTGGACTTGGTGATCTTAGAGGTCTTTTCCAACTTGAATAAGTCCATGATTCTCCTGAGGAGTCTATGAGAGGCTCATTTGTAAGAAAAGCTTATTTCTAGATGCTGTTGTATGGCTGCCCTAGAAAATGGAAGGAGATGGATGAAAAAAGCTGACATCCTCACTCCTCAGGGCAGCAAGACTAGGAGAGCAGCAGAGAAAAGCAGGCAGCTTTCTGCAAGAGATGTCCAGCAGCAAAAACACGTGAGGTTTTTACATGCTGGTCAGGATGTGTGTGGGTGTGGAACTGATTTAATTTGATACTCCAGGAGCAGAGCTTGCCCGGAGATCCCAAGGTGGGAGGATGAGAAGAAAGCTCTGCTCCCAGCAGCTGCCCTGCTGCAAGGTTTGGACTGGCAGCGTTCTTTTTAACTCAGACCTGCAGTCCTGGAGCCTCCAGGCAGGTCACAGCGCTTTTTGGCCAGTCCAGAAGATTTTAGCAGCAGTTTGAGTGATTTGTATCAAGCATCGCAGAGTGTTTATGTTGGTGGGGTGTAGTTTATCTACGGCTTGAAATATTTGCTGACAGCTCTTACAGCTGGAGTTTAGTAACAGCAGAGCACTGCTGATAGACCTGCAGTCGTTTGGGAAAGAGCTGATTTAGGGAGAGGAGTGAGAGCCCCATTGGCAGAGGTGAAGAGGGGACTTCGCCCACTGGTCCCAGTGAAGCTGTGACACCAATGCCAGCCATGTCCTGTGCCCAAAGAGGCCAGACTGCAGTGCCCAGGGCACTGCCTGCCTGCAGCCCCTGGCCTAGCAGGACAGCGTGGTCAGCAAAAAAGCACTGGTTTGGGGAACCTCCAAAAACGATTGCTCAAAAGGGCTGTCGTATAAAGCAAGCCAGCTCATCTGTACACTCGTACAGGGGAGCACCTTCTGCTGGTGTAAATACAAATCACTTCCATCCCCCTGACCTTCTCACTTTGTGAGGTTGCAGGGATCTCAGTGGCAGAACTCAGGTTTTACTGAAATGAGAGAATTTAGGGAGATCCCATCAACATCTGTGGGGTCTGGAGGAACCAAAGCTCGCAAACATCCCACAGAAAGCATCTTGCTGCCCTTCTGCAATCTTCTGCTGAAGGCAGGGTGACCCCTCTCCTGTTGGACCTAGCTGAGCTCCAAAGGGTGACTCAGCACCTAAATGCAGGCAATGAAATCCCACCCAAGCATCCTAAAGGACACTTTAGGATCCCACCTCAAATGTCCTGAAGGATCTCATCTTGGAGGACACAACGGAGTGTGGTCAGGGACTGGGGCAGGTGTTCTGCTGGAAGAACTTTCCCCCTCCTGCTTTCACATCAGTCCTTTTTGGGGAGAAGCCACTGTGCTGCACATGATTCTGCCTCTGCACCACTTGCCCCATGCCCCTTTTCCTAGAAGCATCTGCAGAGCCTCCCCACCTGGGTAAAAGGGCACTTTATCCCCAGGCAGTTGATGAGGAAAGATCCTGATGCGCTTTAGGCCATTGCGTCCCACTGGAAAGGGAGGGAGAGAAATCCACAGGACTGGAGGCACAGCTCTGTGCCTGTGACACTGAGAGCTGAGTGAATGTGGTGGAGACTGGCTCACTGGAGCAGTAAAACTTTGGTATGTGTGAAACCTCTATTAACCTGTGGCCCTTGTTAATGTGCGGAGGCAGAAACGAGCCGTACAGCAGGAGGGCTCATCCTGCTGATATTCCTTGTAAAGGGAAGCTTCCAACAGAGGGGCCAACACAAATATTTGTAGCACGGACAGGGGCTGCCTGATTCAGGAATGCTCCTGTGCCTGGACGGGAGGTGACATCATCCAGATTCCTTCACTGAGGAATGCAGGGTTTGCCTCTTCCCTTGCCAGTAATTGCTTCTTAAAAACAGACCTGCCCAAGGATGTACATCTGACCCCGCTCTGCCTATTGCACAGTCCAAGGTCCTCCTGTTCTTCTTTCGTGGAATTTGCAGGGATAGGAATGAAAAGTATTGGAATTGATAGTTCACTAAATTAGAGGCAAAAGCTCCCAAAAAGCCATAAGCAAGGACTTATCAGAAAACTGGGGAGGGACTGGAGCAGGTGGGGAGAGCAGACCTTGTCTTGGAGCTGGCTGGGCTGGATGGAGCCAGTGATGGGCTGGGGATGTGTGTGACAGGACAAGGGGGAATGGTTTTAAACTGAGCCAGGGGAGGTTTAGGTTGGATCTGAGGAGGAAGTTTTTCAGCCAGAGGGTGGTGAGGCACTGGCACAGGTTGCCCAAGGAGGCTGTGGATGCCCCATCCCTGCAGGCATTCAAGGCCAGGCTGGATGTGGCTCTGGGCAGCCTGGGCTGCTGGTTGGTGACCCTGCACACAGCAGGGGTTGGAGCTGGATGAGCACTGTGCTCCTTTGTAACCCAGACCATTCTAGGGTTCTATAAGAGCTGCAAGGGGGGCCATTTGCATTGCTCCTTGATGACCCTTGGTCCCAGGACCCCCATTTCTTGATTCTGTGAAGCCCAGCGATGGTATCACAACTGCAGGATTACTGTGTCGTGACTGCACTGGATATGCTGACATGCGGAGTGTTCCGGCTAACCACCATACACCCCCTGATGGACTGACAGGACAACCCCAAAGCAAAGCCTAATTCCCCCTCCACACAACCCTTGACTTCTCTGTGGGGCTGAGCATTGTGGCAATGTCCCATCCCTGAGCTCACACCCCTCCACCTCTGCCTCTGCGTTGGCTCCAGCACACAGCGCTGGAAAGTTGTCGCGGTCACTGATGTCCACATGTCATCAACACTTCCACCAGCCCCTGCTGCAGCAGAGGGGTCAGTTCCTGTGGGATGAAGGCCATCGTCGTCATTTCAATAGCTGGAACTAGGTGTAGCTGAGCTGTGCCCCCATTATGGGTCCAAGGGAGGGATTTAGTGGTTGCAAAGGCACGAAGCAATTTGCTCCCAGTGCCTGAAAGAGGATGGCTGGCAGGAAATGAAAGCGCCCTTCTCCAAGGCTGGAGTGGTTTTACTCCTGCACTGGTTCTTTAATTTTCCGTCAGGTTTTAGAAATTCTTGGCTGTTACAACTGGACAATTAAATCCAGAGCAGAAAAGAAGGGCTCCAGCCAAAGAAATAAAACACTTGGTCAGCCAGTTTTTTGAAAGGGGGATGGAATGAAGACGCTCGAATGGAAAGCAGCAGAGCGAGGGCTGCAGTCTTGAGGATGCTGAGAAGTGCATGGAGAGGATCTGCTGGATTTTGTTTGTTGCTGGAGCTAGATTAAATCAGAAGGGGCAGAGGTAAAGGGGATTATGGTCTGGGGTGAAGTGATGACATTTTGGGAAGGGTGTAGGCAGGAGAGACCCATCCAAGAGGGAGGCAGTGGTGTAGCTGCTTTGTGTCAGCACCCACATGAGACAGAACTGCAGTGGAAGAACGGCAGAATGGTCACCTAGGAGATGGTACAGAGGCGGCTGAGCAGCACTGATGTTGGCTCTAGAAGGCTGAGGTGAAGGCTCCCAGGCTTCAAAAGCAGTAGGGACCCAAAGCCCATCCAGGAATAAAGGCTGTGGTGGGTGAAGATCTGCATTCAGTGCAAGTCTCTGGGTACATCACAGCTCAGTGAGCTGGATGCTGCTCCTCCAGCCCCCTGCAGCAGCACCCGTGGCCTGAAGTTCTCTGCCTTGTCCGTCCTTGTGCACGCTGTCCCGTTGTAAAGCAAGGCTGCCCAGGTTTGTGGTTTTGGTTTGTGTGTCTGAAGGGGCAGGGAATTCTGTAGTCACTCCTCAGGCTTCCTCGGAAACACAGATGGTGTTGTGGTTTCTTTATTCCTGTCTGGAGGCTAAAGGGAGGATGCCTTGCAGAGAATCATGGAGTCATTAAGGTTGGAAAAGACCTCTAAGATCATCGAATCCAGCCGTCATGAGGAAGGGAGGGGAGGGGCCAGATGTGGAAAGAGTGAATTTTCAAGAAGGTTCTCCTACAAGTGCATCTTCTTTCCTCAGTTTCTGCTCATGGCCAGGTCACTGCTTGCAGCTATTTGATCCAGAAAGTCTCCAGAGGTGTTCAGGAGTACCTGAAATGCAGTTTGCCAGGTGCCCAGCTAGTGACCAGCACAGGAGAACAACCTGCAGTAAACCTGCATCTCAGCGTCTGCCTGTAGGGTAACTGATACCTTGATTTGGTGTTTCTAAGACCTGTGTATCAGATGGTGAAGGAGGATGAGGGATTTTTTGTTTGCTCCCTCTTTCCTTTGCATTTTATGTGCTGTTCAGCTCTTTAAACATATCAGTGTTCACTGGCACAGGTTGCCCAAGGAGGCTGTGGATGCCCCATCCCTGCAGGCATTCAAGGCCAGGCTGGATGTGGCTCTGGGCAGCCTGGGCTGCTGGTTGGCGACCTGCACACAGCAGGGGTTGGAGCTGGATGAGCTCCTTTGCAACCCAGGCCATTCTGTGATTCTATGAAATGCAAGCAGAGAACTGGGAGAGGAGTTGATGAATGTCAGGGTGGGCTTCTAGCATTACTGAAGGTTAAACTGTGCCTGTAGCATCCTCTGTGTCCCGTCTCAACCTGGCAGAGGGGAAAGCTTGCATCACACATCGCTGCTTGGGAGCCAGACAAGTGCCTGGTGTACAGGGATGTGCGACCCCTGTGCAGCCCCAGTGATGCTGGCTGCTCGTTGCTGCTCAGTGCTCCACCAAAACTCGCACCCATGCACCCAGTGATCTCTTGGAAACATTTCTACCTTTGGGAGTATTCTGTTCTATCAGCAAAGAGATTAAAAAAGCTTCATCTTGCTTTCCACTTGCTCAGCTTGCGGGTCAGCCCCAAGCATTGCTGGCTCAGCCCTGCAGCCTCTGTGCAGAGGCTTCCCTGTGTCAAAGGTGAGGAAGGGCTGTTCTCCTCCTCCCAAATCTCCCCCTCTTCCCCTTCCGCCTCGACATGCTCATTCATGAAAAAACATCTGCTGGATGGATGAGGAGACAGAAATTAACACTGGCACGTTTTTCCCACTCGTTGGCCAAGGGAGGTTGTAGGCTCAGAGGGTTTTAATCTTTGTTTTCACAGCTGGATTCAGTATTGCCCTTTCTCCTCTCCAGTGTTTCATTGCTACTCATTCCCCCGAGCAACCTGCTGCAAAGCAAAGTGTGCACTCACATTGCAGGACAGCTCACAGCCAGCTTCCCTGGGGCTGCCTGCACCTCAGGACCCATGACCCTCACAGCCCCGTCTGCTCATTAGGGATTGTGCTGAGATTTATGCTCTCCCACTGAGGCTCCAGAAGGGCGATGCTGCAGTGACGAAGGTTCCATCCCACGAGGATCCTCTGAGAGCATCTGGCTGCAGCTCAACTCTCCCAGCTCCTTTCCACCTGGCTCCACGTGGGGTGAAGAGGTCCCAGCAGCAGGAATCAGCTTGGTCCGTCCTTTGGTAGGGGCAAACGCGTGGGGTCTGCCTTAGTCCTGTGCATGGAGCAAACCCTCAGCCTATGGTGCCAACCGAGACATCATGGGTCTTTCCTCTGCTGCAGGATTTGGTTATAAGGTGGAGAGTGTACAGAATGGGATGTAGGCTTTGGTGGAGGTGGTGGAGGGTTTTTGTGATGCTCGTGTAGGGTTCTGTGGTGCTTGTGTAGGGCTTGGTGATGGTGATGTAGGGTTTTGTGATGCTTGTGTAGGGTTCACTAGTGCTTGTGTAGGGTTTGGTGGAGTTGATACGCAGTTTGGTGGAGGTGGTGTAGGGCTTGGTGGTGGTGTAGGTGAAGGCTGGTGCTCCTGTAAGATCTGATGGTACTGGTGGTCCTGGCAGTGTTTTGGATCCCTGGATGCCCAGCACATAACACAGGCAGCTGTGTCCTCATGCACATTGCAGTGGCTGAGGTGCCATCAGCTCCTCATTGGGTGCCCAAGGGCTCGGACCTCAGGCTCTGAAGTTCTTAATGTCAAAGCTTCAGGCATCAGCATGGCCTGATGCCAGATGGGACTGGCTCCATTCCCACCTGGACACCAGCCTGAAGGCACCTCTCCACCTCACCATGTATCTCCAGGCAGAGACACCCGTCCAACACCATCCCACCCATCCTGCGAGCTTTGGGGACGAAAACACACGTGTCCCGCCTTCTTGGCACTGGGGATCCAGCTGTGGGGCTCAGTGCAGAAAGCCTCACACAGGGTGGGGGCCCACCTATATAAACAAGGCCAGGAAGGCTCCCAGCCATTCCCACTCCTTGCTCCCCTTTGGATCTGAGCAGCCATCCTCCGCCGATGCTCCCACCCCTGGCTCTGCTGGGCAAGGTACCGTACCGCTCCTCCGGGCATCTCTGTCTCTCATTTCTCTTTTCTGCATGTAGATATGACTGCTTAAATATCTCTGTGTACAATTACCTAAGTGTCCATTGAAATATTTACTGGTGATACTGGTGCAACAGTAAATCTTGGTTGGGTGAGTAGAAACCTGCAGCAGTCGTGCTGGTACCCAGCTAGAAGGGTGGGAAATCTCATAGTAGTACCGTTTCCTTTTCACTTTGCTTTCAGTTTTCTCTGTTATCTAAGAACAGCACATCCAACCTGTTTATTTGCACATTTATCATGTTTTAGACTCACGCTCTGTTCCCTTTCAGCTGTGTTTAAGTCTTATTAGTACTGGTCATCAGGTTGCATCCAGATGGGTCGCATTCCCACACGGAGTGGTGGGGGACATCCTCATGCACAATTCATGTCTTTTCTGTGTTGTAAATACTTGCACTTGGCAAACTGCAGTTGTTTTTGGAGTGGTGAAGAAGCCTTTATATCTTTGTACCCGGTTCTCATTGCTGCCACTTTCTGGCGGGGACATAGGGCTGCACTAATCCACATGGACCAAGTTAAATCCTGGTGGGAGAACTGTCCTGAGAGCTGCTGCATGTAGTGCGGGACTTTGGTCACAGTGACACTTGTCCCCATCCTGTGTCTGACAGGAGAGGTATGTGCTGTGAAGGTGACACCATCATTTTTCTGACTGGGGCTGCTAAATAATAGTCAGACTCTCAGAGTCAGCGATCCACCACGCACAAATGAAATAAAGTATTTTCAGTGTCTGCAGGATGAGGTGAGCGTTCTGCCCTTGCTTTGGGACTTTGTCTTTATCTCCAACCTCCGAGATGTCCATTAATGCTGAGTTGCAGTTCCCAGCCTGGTTGGGTTCATCCTGCAGGACGCTGCACGAACCTCTGCTCTTTGCTCCTCTTGTTCCTCCTCCTTTTTCCTGGGGCTCTTCCAGGCTCCCCTCTAACAGCAGCCTGTGGACAGGTGCTAGGAGAAAAACAGCTCCCTGGAACAGCCCAGAATGGCTGTTCCATTCAAGTGATGCCACTTGAATTTTTCCAGAGTTCCCTCATCTTTCCCAGGCACCCTGGCCTTTCTCCTCTCCGTGCATCTCTGCTCAGTGAAGCGCTAAAGGAGGAGCTGAGGACGATGAGGGGTGGAGGTGAACTGTTGCACGGCCACTCGTTGCCTGGGGATCCGCTTCCTCCGGTTTCTTTTGATTTTTTGGGGATTTTTTTTTGCACGTTCAGGAAGGTCTCCAGCAAGTCGAGCCTGGCTGGATTCATAGGGCTGCACCGGCAGCCAGCAGTGCTGGGAATGCCGGCTGGGAGCTTTATTGCTTCCTGTTATGAGGGTTCAGGAGATGCTCTGGGTTGGTGGGAGAGACGCGGTCCAGCGCGAGCGCCAGGTTTGGCCCCAGCACATGGGGTGGGGTTGGAAATGTGGGGTTTTTTTTCCTCTTTGCTTCTCCGGCTGCTTCAGGAAAGGGAAGCAAATAAAGGGAATAATTGCTCGCTTTGGCCTTTGCAGAGACCTCTGGCTGTTGAAGCAGATCTCTGCCTTGGGTCTGCTTGCTTTGGAGCGAGAACAGACGGAGAGAAGAATGCTATGAAGGGCAGTGTCCCCATCACGGTTCTTTTCTTGCCACCTCTTTGCATGTCAGCCTTGAAAACGTCAGAAAAAAAAAAGGTTCCATCATAAAAAAAAAAAAGGGATTTTGTCAACATCGAAATTAATCTCAGGAATGCGTCCAGTGCAGCGAAAATTTCAGTCGGGAAGGGCTGGAATAAATATCTTCTGTGCTCCAGCCCGAGCTTAAATGCTTCCTCTGGGCTTTTGTGCTTTGTGATTTAAATCTTATTGTTATTTCCCTTTATTGGATTTTTCTTGTCATTTTCAAAGAGAAGTGCTTTTACCTTTCCGCAGTTATGATTCAGTGAAATCCCAGGGAAACATTGCACTGTTTTTCAGCAGGAACATTCTTCATCCTGCTAACATCTGGCTTTTTCCTCTGATCACCAACCAAAGCAAATTTAATAGAAATTCTGTTTTCTGACTTATCTTCAATGCCAAACCGTGCTCCAAATTCAGTGGTGATTGGGAGCTTGAATTGATTTTTGCAGAGCGTGTTAAAGAAATCGGCCTTCGCCTTGTTTTCAGGCATCCTCTTGTCACACAGCCAAAAATCCTTATGGGCTCTTTTTCTCAGTTTGGTCCTTGCAAGGGGCAGAGACCCACCGCCGTGTTGTCATCCAGGTTAAAACTTTGAAGAGAATCGTAGTGTTGTTAAGGTCCAACCATCAGCCCAGCCCCTCCAGGCCCGCTCATAGAATCACTAAGGTTGGAAAAGATCTTGGGGATCGCAACGCCCAGCCGTCCCTGCTCACAGAATCACTGGGGTTGGAAGAGACCCCTAAGATCACCAGGTCCTGCCGTCATCCCGTCACCACCTGGGCCACCAAATGGATGCAGAGCAGAGAGCACAGACGAATGGACCCGATGCTGATGGGGTGACGTGCCGTATCCACACCAGGGTCGTCACCACCACTCTTCTGAGAAGCCCACACAGAGTTCTGTGATGGAGCAGATCTGAACATGATTCACCCTGCCTGTACGTTTTTACTGTACTGTTGAGGTTTTGGCTGCGTCCTTACGATGTGAGCCCTGATTAGTCCAACATCTTGGACAACACCCGAAGCAGCCTGGTCTAGAGTGAAATGTCCCTGCCTGTGTCAGAGATTGGAATTGGTCCCTTCCAACCCAAACCATTCTGTGATTCTACGGCAAAAATGAGCCCATAAAGCCCACTTTGTATGCGAAATAGGGCGTAAATGGCAAAGTCAGAGCTATTAATCACTAGTGCTACAAAACAAGAGTACAAATTCTCTGATTCCTGTGACTAAGGACAAGACTGTGATCTTCTAGAGGTGGTGTTTGAGGAAACACCAATTTCACAGCCCTAGGAAGGGGACAGGTGAGAACCCACAACCTGGGCTGGATGTAAGTCAAGTGGCAGGCATGGGGCAGGCCTCGTCTTCCTCCTCTTCATCTTCCTCCTCCTCCTCCACACCCAGCGGTGCCCGCCCAGGACCAGCAGAAGACAATGCAGATAAGGGCAGGAGGAAGGGAAGCGGAGCGCAGGAGGAAGCGCTGACACGGAGGCTGCCCTTCCCTGAAGCACATGTTTACATCTGACAAAGATCTGTGCTGAACGCTGTTTCTGGAACAGCTCTGCTGGAGGCGTGGGGCTGCAAAGAGCAGCGCAACAAACCAGAAGCACTAATGAAATCAAAACCTGTCTCTTTCTCCCTTTTTTCTTTCTTTTTTTTCTTTTTTTCTTCTTTTCCCCATTTAGCTCTTATGTTTCGAAGCGTCGCTTCTGCTCACAAAGCCAAGAGCTGAGCCTGTCTCTCTGAGGCTCTCACCGAAGCTCGCTGTGAGCCGTGGGCTGCAGATCCCTTTTGCTCTCTAGGTTCTGTAAAATAAGTCTCCAAACTCATGTGATGCTGCTTCATGGGTCTTCTTTTTTAATAAGCAAGCTCGTTATTTGAATGCATTTCTTCACTTTGTGGAGTTTTGAAACAAATCAAATGGAAACCCAGAAGGTGAAAATTAGAGAAGAAACTGAACTCAGTGTCATGCATTACAGAGCTGTGTCGGTCTGGGGCCAGACTGGATACGTATGTTTGCTACTCATCACTTAGCAGGAAGATGTAACACCAGATAGAACCGTAATTAATGACTGCAGTTATTCATTTCAATGGGAAGCCAAGAGAAACACGTCAGGAATACCAGTGGTGTCAGCTGGGTGAGGTGACCCCCAGCAGCCAGAAGTGTCCAGGCTTTTGTCACATCCATTCCCCTTTGTTTCCTGTTCTCAATGCCAAGCACTAACTGAAGCCCAGGGCACTGGATGCTGCACAGGGAGTGAAAAGGTTCCTATTGCTCTTTTAGGCCATAACATTTATTTATGGCTACAAAATCTCTGTTTGTTCTCCAGTGTCTGCCTTGGAAGGAAGAAAACACAGGCTGTGTATGAGCGTGCATACCCCTGCTGTTCTGTTATTACCCTGGATACACGCAGCCAAGGTTTTGGCCCTTGCATAACCTGCTCAAATGGTAAAAAACCAATGAAAGCAGGCAGGAGGAAACGCTCAGCCTTCCCCAGGCGATGGGTTGGGTTGGTGTGATGGGAACCACGCAGTCCCCAGAGCCTGGAGCAAGAGAAGATGATGGCCAGCTTGTTTGCAGCATGGATGCTCCAAGAAGACGTCCACCAGAAGAGATTACTGTGTGTATAAATAACCTTGCAAAGAGTCTGAAGAGCCTGTGTGACCCGTGGGGCTGGAACTGCGCTGAGCTGCCTTTTATCTCGAAGCCGCTGCCTGCTCTCCTGCGGAGTCTGGAAGTTATTTTTAAGTAACTAATAATCCTGCTCCACAGCTCCATCCTGCACCAGCTGGAGCTGCTGGAGGTCTCACCCCAGCCTGTGGTGGGAAGGAGATGCTGGCGGCCATCCCTCAGGTCTGGTGGGTCTCACGGTCCTGTAAAGGCGGGTGTGAAATGTGTTGGGAGTGGGATGGCAGAATGGAGGTGACAGCCAGGTGACACCCTGTGCTGCCCCGGATGTGAAGGATCGTGCAGGGGTGAGTATTTTATCCTTCTTGGTCTGGTCTCGATGGGAGATGTCCAGGAATTTTGGGAGGAGACCCAGCAGATCTGGCGGTCTCTGGAACCAGCTCCATATCCCCCCAGCTCCTTTGGCAGTGCAAGCTTTGTGGGTGTGCTGAGCTCTGAAGCGTGCAGGCAGGATCGTTTTGCACAGGATGGTTGTGGACGCCCCATCCCCGCATCCCGGAGGCATTCAAAGCCAGGCTGGATTGTGGCTCTGGGCAGCCTGGTCTGGTGGCTGGTGATCCTTCCTATGGCAGGAGGGTTGAAACTAGATGATCTTTGAGGTCCTTTTCAACCCAGGCCATGACTATTGAATCTCTTTAGAAGCTTATTTCCACCCAGATCCCTCCCCAGACCTGTTCTGAGTGTGACAGCCACCCCTCAAGGGCATCTTCACCTCTACTTCCGACTTCCCTGAATACGAGGCTCTTTCCACCCACCTCTCAGAGATAGCTGCTTCTAAACAATGAATTAGCTCATCATTGCACAAGGGTAATTAGTTTGTAATTTAAGGTTACCACAATACACCTGGATCTGTGGACACAGTGGTTTGACTGAAGTGCTCCGCCAACATGGAGAGGTGCAGAAGATGCTTAGTGGTCATAGTGTGATGGGTTGCTGGTTGGACTCAGTGATCTTTTAGGTCTTTATGATTCTGTGCTGCTGCTGCTGCTTGCCTGAGATGCTCCAGCGAGCAGGAATTGCCACCCCACATCCCACTGGGCTCTTTGGAATACCCAGCTTAGTCAGAACCCTCTTGGCACGAAGATTGCTGGTAAATCGTATGTCCCCTTCGATCAAAATGTGCTCCTCCCATGTTTTTACCCCTCAAAGGCTGGGTCTGATCCTTTCTGCTGTTTCCCTCTCCCGGGGAGGTTTTCTGCCTCAGCTCCCCACTTTGACCCCGCAGTTACCTGGAGCCCTGACCCCGCTGGTGACAATAAGGGTCCCTGTGGATGGAGCAGGGCTGAGAGATGCCCCCAGGAGACAGGGGCTCTTCTCCACTTGCCTCAGGCTTCACGCACATTCCCACACTTACTAATTCTTTTTCCTCCCACAAAGAGACCAGAAAGCCCTAAAATGTACCCCAAAACCCTTTTCCAGCGCTCCCTATCCATGAACAGGGGAAGCAGCGAGGCAGGACCTTCAGATCACTTCTCACTACAGAGCCTTGCCTCTTTTTCTTTTTTTCCCCCTGCTCTCTACCCAAGGAGCTTTTGCCAAAATGCGTTTTCCACATGTTCCCTATTAGTCATGCTCTCTGTCTTACAAATCTGTTACCAGCACCGCTAGCCGATGCTATTAATTTACTTCCAGTCCTCTCAAGAGCTCGGCAGCAAAATTCCAGGCACCGTTCCTAAAACCAGAGCCGGCGGTTTGTTTGGATTTAAAAACCGATGCCTCCTTCCTGCCCGGTATATATAGCACCTTCTCCCAAAGCTTGGGGACACCCAGCGAGGAGAGGGGCTGGGGTGGGAGCTGGGCTGTCCCAGAGGCGGGGTCTGCAGAGCCTTAAATCCTGCCCCAGGGCTCGGCGTCCCAGCGGAGCATGGCGTGAGCACGGCGGGACTTTATCTAGGGCAAGGCGCAGGAATGCTGGTGGAGGAGGGCAAGCAGCACCATGTCTCCGTGAGTACATTTTCCATTGTTTTGCCTTTGGTTTAAACAACTGGGTGGGAAGCGAGTAGAAAGGAAGGACGTCAAGCTAGCTAGATCTATATGCTTTTTTCCTATTTTTCTTTTTTTTCTTCTCGTTCTGCTTCTTTTACACCCAAGTTTTAAAGTTTTTTCCCAGTTCCAACAGCTGCATCTGCAATTGCACAGAGGGGATTTTGGTGGTGAGAAAGTGGAATCAAGAGCTAATTGCTGGCTCCGTGGGATTTCCACTATTTTAAGGCTGAGCCGAAGGCACTCGAATCGCCGCCGTCGCATTGAGAGATCCCAACTTCTATTTGTGGCTGTCTGGAAGTGAAACGTGTGCCCGGTGCCAGTCAGCCTGATGTGTGCAGCTGGAATGAATGGGTTCCAAGCTGCGGGGACGCTGGGTCCCCCCTGGGATCTCTGCACGTAACTGAGCCCCACAAACTGCCCTCACCCCATCCATTCCGTGCTGGAGCCCCACGCGGTCCTTGCCCCAGCAGGCTGATCAGAGGAGGATTCTTCCCTTGTCTCCTTCAGCTGCTGTTGTGTGTCTGGGTACGGGGGAGCACAGCGCGGTCACTGAGGTGCAATCATGCCCAGAGGCACAGCAGGGTCCCAGCAGTGCAGGAGCAGCTGGGGGCTGTTTCCTGCACATGTTGCTGCCGTCCAGATGTGCACAGCAGGCTGAGCACAGGCTGTGGCTGGTAGTTGGTATTCGCAGATCGTGTTCTCCAAGCAGTGGCCTTCTGGTTGTTCTGTTAGTTTGTGATTTCTCTCCCTGATGCTGGGGGATTGTGAAGGGTTTAAGCCGATGTTGCCAGGTGCTCCAGTCTGAAATGTGCTTCCTGGAGGAAGAAAGTGTGTGCTTTGCTAACGAACGTTAGGTCAGAACTTGAATATTTCCTCCAAAATCCATCGTTGGCTTTGTCAAGTCCTCAGTGCCTCAGCAAACTGCTATTGGGAGGTAACTGACCTGTGGGAACTGTATCATGGAATCACAGAATCAGAATTTGGGTTGGAAAGGACCTTAAAGCCCGTCCAGTTCCAGCCCCTGCCGTGAGCAAGAGCACCTCTCACCAGGCCAGGTTACCAAAACCTCATCCCACCTTGCCTTGAGTGCCTCCAGAGGGACATCCACAGCTCCTCTGGGCAGCACAGCCAGTGCCTCACCACCCTCATTGTGAAGCATTTTTTCCTGCTGTCTAACCTAACTTACCATCTTTAATTTAAAGCCATTATCTCCTGTCCTGTCACTACGCTCCCTGACAAAGAATAAGCTTAATGTGGAGCTTGCAGCTGACTGGGGATGCTGATGGGTGGCACAGAGACCACCAGGCTGGGTCCACTACCCAAGCCCCAGCCCTGCCCTGGCTGCACAGATGCTCCAGGGATGGATGCGCCATGTCCCACAGTGGGCAATCAGCACCCCAGTGCCTCCTCTTGCCACCCCTACCTGCTGAGTCTTGGCCGAGGCCCGGCGTGAATCCTGCAAGTCAGGCAATGCCCCATTCTGCTCATGACTGAATAGGCACGCAGAGCAAAGGAAGGTTTGCTCTGCTTTGAAGGGGAGCTACTGAGTCTGAAAGAAGCCAAAGGCATTCACAAGGGGTGATGTCCCATCCCTGAATAAATAGTCATAGAATCACAGAATCGTTTGAGTTGGAAGAGATCCTTAAAGGCCATCTGGTCCAGCTCCCCTGCACTGAACTGGGAAACCCACAGCTCCACCAGGCGCTCAGAGCCCCGTCCCCTGACCTTGGGTGTCTCCAGCGATGGGTCACCCAGCACCTCTGTGCACGACCTGTGCCAGTGCTTCGCCACCCTTACTGTAAAAAATCTTCATCCTTCTATTCAGTCTAAAATTAAAAAACACAATGCTAAGCCAGAGTTCTCCAATAAATAAAGAATAGCGCTGTGGGGTTCACTTTCCACATTATTCTGTGGTTGAACCACTGTGTCTGCAGCAGTATTTCTTTACTGACTGTTGGGTCCGAGGCATCATTTCTGAGGCAGGAGATGGGGATTCTGGTTCCTGTAGCGTGGAGAACTTCAGCAGGTAACTTGAGGGGAGAGAGGAGACCTTCTCACCTCTTCTCCCAGCTGGGGCGTGCTGCTTCCCTACTCTTTGCCTCAGTTTCCCCAGCTGCAGGACAGGAACATTCCTCAGCACCATCTGCAGAGTGCTCCCACAGTCCCCCTCTGGTGTGTGAAGACTCGGAAGTTTGGGTTCGCAGAGGATTTGTTTGATCTAGAAATAGCAGGGTTAGAAAATTCCATCTGCTGGCTCTCGGGAGCCCTCGACAGTGGAAGAATTTTGCTGCATCTTGAGCCTTGGGCCGCATCATTACTTCCCAGGGCTGCAGCGAGGCGGGTGCTGAGCAAACCAGAGCTGCTTGGCGCCCATCCTAAGAAGCAGCAGGAACAAAATGACATTCCAGGAAAGCAAAATGTGGAGAACAGAGCGAATCATCTTGCATTTCTTGCTCCTTTGCTGTTGCTCGTGGTTGTTCGCACTCCAGGCCCAATCCACGGGGTCAAAGCCTCCAGTGCAAACCTTGGGGTGTGATTTGGTGTCTCCATGTAAAAGTGCTGCAAAGCTGAGCCAGGACCGGACTCGTGTCCTGTGGCATGATTTGTCCTCCTTGACTTTTACCTCTGTAAATGAAAGGGCTGTGGGGCAGCACAGGGATTTGGGTAGGCTTGCTGTAGGTTGGGCTCTCAATGAAGGTGACGAGCCTGGTGCAGAGGAGGGATGCAGGTTTGCAGAAAGGATGAGCCCATTCTCTGCTGCTCGAGAGTGAGGGGCCGTCGTCCCCCAGCATGATGCCCTTCGTGTCCGGGTGCTTTCCCCATCGCTCTCACCCCTCGGTGTCTGCCAGCCCAGCCATACAATTACCACCTGTCTTTAATGATGCCTGGAGGGCTGAGGCGCTCCAATGATGCCAGGGAGCTCAGGGTGAGACCCCACTGCAAGGCAAGCTGAGCACAAAATGGTTCCACTTCCTCTCCAGCTGTCCAGGTCTTCTAATAAATGCATGGTTTTCTCTGAAAGCTTTGGAAGGTTTATTTATAAAAGAGTCTGCATTTGATTTAAGCATTTGTTTTTCAAGAGGGACTTAAAAGGGACATCAGTCTGTAAATATAAATATTCCCATTCTTTTTTTGATTCTTTGCATTTTTCTAGGTTCACTAATGAAAGACATTTCAGCATCCCCTGCTCCCGCATTCAGCCCGGGTGCCTGAGCCCACGGCATGTGAGCAAGCAGCTATCACAAGTTGAGCACCCTTCTGTGTGCCTAGGTGGCTGCCATGTTGTATTGTATTCATTATCAGTTACCCAAGGACTTCCCATCCTGAAACAGGGCAACAAAATGTGTTGATGGGATGTTAACTTACAGCTGTGTGGGGTTTTTTTTCCCCTTCTTCCTGCAGGTTATAACTGAGTAGCCCTTATGACCAACATGAGCTGGAGCTTTCTCACCCGCCTGCTAGAAGAGATCCACAACCACTCCACCTTCGTGGGGAAGGTCTGGCTCACCGTGCTCATCGTCTTCCGCATCGTCCTGACGGCGGTCGGTGGAGAATCCATCTACTCTGATGAGCAAAGCAAGTTCACTTGCAACACCAAGCAGCCCGGCTGCGACAACGTCTGTTACGATGCCTTCGCCCCGCTGTCTCACGTTCGGTTTTGGGTCTTCCAGATCATCATGATATCCACACCTTCAGTCATGTACCTGGGCTACGCCATCCACCGGATCGCCCGGTCAGCGGAGGAGGAGAAGAAGTTCAAGGGCTTCAAGAAGAAGAAGCAGTTTGCTTTGAACTGGCAGGCGGTGCGCAACATGGAGGACGCGATGGAGGCGGATGAAGAGGAGCCCATGATCTCCGACGACGCAGCAGAAAATGAGAAAGCCAAAGCCAAGCCCAAGAGCAAAGAGCAGCAAAAGCACGATGGGAGGAGGCGAATCCAGCAGGAAGGACTGATGAAAATCTACGTCTTCCAGCTGCTTACCAGAGCTTCGTTTGAAGTTTGTTTTTTGATAGGGCAGTATTTGCTCTACGGTTTTGAGGTAGAAGCTTATTTTGTCTGCAACAGACTGCCTTGTCCTCACACGGTGGACTGCTTTGTGTCCCGGCCAACTGAGAAGACAATCTTTTTGCTGGTGATGTACGTGGTGAGCTGCCTGTGCTTGCTGCTGAACATGTGTGAGATGTTCCATCTGGGCTTCGGGACCATCCGAGATGCCATCCGCAACCGGAAAATCAACAGCTTCAGGCAGCCCCCCTACAACTACGCCTACCCCAAGAACATCTCCTGCCCCCCCGAGTACAACCTGGTGGTGAAATCGGAGAAGTCCACCAAGATCCCCAACAGCCTGATGGCTCACGAGCAGAACCTGGCTAACGTTGCGCAGGAGCAGCAGTGCACCAGCCCGGATGAGAACATCCCAGCGGACTTGTCCACCCTCCACAAACACCTGCGAGTGGCCCAGGAGCAGCTGGACATAGCATTTCAGAGCTATGGCAGCAGCCAGGGCAACGCGCAGCCCTCCCGGACCAGCAGCCCTGCCTCGGGTGGCACGGTGGTAGAACAAAATAGGGCCAACACGGCCCAGGAGAAGCAAAGCGCTAAGCCCAAGGCATCCTTGGAGAAAGGCAGCTCCAGCAGTAAGGATGGAAAGACGTCTGTGTGGATATAGCCTGTCTGCCAGCAGTGAGGGCAGCGTAAGTGGGGTTTTATTTGGGGTTCTGTTTTGCAGTATGTCTCGAGTTTATTTCACAGGGCACAGATACGTTTTTTCTGTGGAAGTCAAGAGAGAAAAGGAATTTCAGACCAATTTAGTACTGTCTTCCGGTGCATTAACAAAAGACATTTCCTTCCTCTTTCCAACACGTCCTCCAGCCGGGAACCTCCAGTGAGTGACAGCGACCGCTGCATCCCGCCGAGGCTGGACAGCCTGCTGTGATGGAAGCAGGGAGCAGCTCCCACACACAGTGCTGCAGTCAGACGGCCTTTAATTACTAAATATCCTTCATCAAAATTAATTTCCGATCCCTTGATTAGAAAGGAAAGTGACTGATACGTCGACGAACTTTCACGGCACGCTCCCAGCTAACGTCTCACCGGAATTTTTCAGTGCACAGCAGGCAGCACTGGAAGCGAAGGCAGCAGAGGTGCATGCATAGCACAGCACTGATGGATTTCATCTTTCATTCTGCGCTGAAACAAAAAGCAAACACGGCCAAACACTCCGCAGTGTGAGTTGGCAGTGACACTGCTGCTCGTACTGGTGCCTGCGTAGCGCTTGCTACAGATGGAATCACTGCAGTTACAGTGTTTTTAACAAACTGCTGCTTCACATCATCAGAAAGTGCCTTTTTGCAACCAGGAAAACAAAGTCATAAAGGGTGTCGACTTCTTCACGTGCTAAATTTGAGTAAAGATGGGAAGATCAGTGTTGGCAGGTTTGTTTTTCTGTTTAATGGAACTGTTACACACAGTGGCAGACAGCAGACCTATGCATAGCGCGTATACGATGCGTGTGTGTGCACATGTCAGCATATATATGGACACATGAACATGTGTGTGTGCATATAGATACATAGATATATATATATATAAATGTGATATCAACCCTCTGGTAATTTTACAGCCTTCCACTTTCCCTGGGAAATCTTGTTGGATCCAGAAGGAGTGTCAGTGGGAAACGGGCAGGTTTCCATACACTTGTTAGGGGGCTCAGCAGAAGACCTGGTGGACAGGACCCAGGGCAGCAGCAAGAAGTTTGCCTCTGGTTTATGGAGAGATTTTGTTGCCTTTGCTTGGTAGCCTCCTTGCAGTTTGCAGGAGCTCCAAGGCTCCTGCTGGTGCTGGATGTGCTTTGGTGGGTGGTTTCATCCTGGAGCTGAGGCGTTCTTGAGATGCCTGTGGTGATTCACCACCATGGAGGCAAAGTAGGCAGAGCCTTCCAGATCAAACTTTACAAGGAAGAATTAAATCCTTACAGAATACAGCATCATTCCTGTGCTGAGCTGCTCCCTTACAGCCACGCCAGCATACAAGCCCTCATGCCACTATTCCTTTCATGTTACTTCTTGATGGGCTCTTACTCATGACCCTGAGATCAGTCTCTGAAGCCTTGAGGGCATCTGCTCTCCCCAGCCAGCACGAAAGCTGTGCAATGCCCCTGGAGAACAGTGCTGGTAGCAAACAGTAGGTTTTAAAAGGTGCAAAGAAATGTTCTCTGAGGTATCCAGCTGCAAATATTCGGTATGGCTTTCAGTAACAGTCTGGAGACAGCTCCAGGCTTGTTCCCGATCCTGCAGGAGGCACTGCCTGGAGCGCTGCCTGCTCTTGCTGCTGGAGTTGTTCTCTTTGGATACAGGCAGCTGCATCCCACAGGAGGCTCAGCGCATCGTGCAGCAGCACTGGTCTGCAGCAGCACACACACATCGCGTGCAGGGATGTTTTGTAACGTGAATTTTCCATCAGAGGCTCAGAAAGTTCACAGCACTGTGGTAGGACAAACATATCTGCCCGCGCTGCTCCTTGGCCTACATATGGGCACCCACCCACTCGGGCAACGCAGGGAGACTGGGTGCTGCTGGCAGTGCTGTCGTGAAGGTACAGACAGCCCAGGGCTTATTCCCCTGAAGATGTGGGGTGTTTGAAGACTGTCTTATCTCCGTTAGCTCTGCTGTAAGCCAAGCAACCCTACTTTCACCAGCCTGTCATTTCCGTGCCATGGATCCAGCACGCCAAGAGGGATGATCAGGCAGTCCTGCAGCAGATTTGCAGCCTCCTCCAGGCTGGTGTCACCAGCACATTTAATACGCACACGCTGTTTTCCATAGTGGGAGTCAATAATTGCAGTATTGATGAGCACTAGAGCCGGGGCAGACACTTGGGTGTTCGATACCAGCTCCTCATCAGGCAGGGTAACTGCTCACTCTGCCGTCCTCCCAGCCAGCCCTGCTCATCTGTAGGGCTTGAAAACTTCCTTGTATAAAATGCTTTGCAAATGAGGGCTGATCTCACTTTCCCTTTTTTTTTATTCTTCTTTTTCCAAGCTTTTTGACAGGGACTGAAGCAAAAGGGCTCGCTGCTGGCAGGACTGCTTAATGCCAGGATCTTGTGGTGGGCTGCCAAGCTCCCATACGCTCCTCCATACCAAGAAGGAGCCGCCCCTGTTCCTCCAGCCACCAGTATGAGTCAGATAGCCCTATAAATATGGAGGCTTATTATTATAATTAGATATACCGAATTGCTCACTTCCCCCTTTCCTCCACTGCTTGCCCTCTGGAGCTCTTAGGATGTTGTGTGCTCCACTGAGTCACCTCCACCACCAAGGCACCGATGTCTCCGCAGCAGTGACCCCTTCCAGAGCAGGAAGGGAAATCCCGTCTTTGCTGTGTCTGTTAGGGCAGGAAAAGGATAGGAAGGCAAAATATGTGTAACCACAAGCAAAAGCCCCGCCACAAACCAAACCGGCGGCTTGAGGAATTTCAAGCAGACGACGGGCAGCATCGGCCATGGAAGAAAAGCCAGTATTACAACTAATGCTTTGCTTTCTTTTCTGCAGGTTAGTCATTTAGTTCATGCTCCAGGCGGGTTTAGCTCTGTAGCTGAACTAATCATAAATGTTGATTCCCTCACTAAGCTTTGCTGGATAAAGTGCCCGCCCTTGCGTTTCTGTTCTTACCATTCAGGGCCAGGAATGTCCCACGTAAAAGCCAGATTACCTTGTTGCTTGCATTGCATTCCACTGGAAAATACTTGAACTTAACTCAAGGCCATAACCAGTCTGTGCTGTTATGAAGTTTCTGGGATATTTTTTTTGTTCATTTTTTATGTACTAACTGTATTTGTACTAGAAAATTTTTGAGTATGAGGTTGAATCTCTCGAAGTATTTCTCAGTGTAAATGTTCCATCTGGACTGTAGTTAGGTTAAGCATTGGTCAAAAGAGAATGAAACATTAGCCCGACTCTTCAACCGGCTATTCCACGTCCATTACTAATAAAACAGAATAAAACTTACATTTTGTTACAGAATGCAAAGTGTGTGATGTTTCCGTGAGAAGGAAGATGAGTGTTGATGAGAAGAAATTCTTCCCCATCTATTGTTTGCCTGCTTTAGCCATATAAGACCTCTATTTTCCCACATACAGCTATAAATCACTGCAAAATATTTTTGCCTTAAGAAGTAGTTGACCTTCTGGTTGTTTGGGATGTGTTGTCTCTCTGATGAATCACTGCCTGCAGTTCCTTCAGGCATGGAGCTGAAGCTGCCTAGGAAAGCCTGTGCTCCGAAAAGTGAAAAAACTTTGCTGAGTCCGGGAGAAGTTATGGCTGCGGCAGAGTAAATGATGGGAGAAGCCTTTGAGAAGACCTGCCCTGCAAGAGAATCACAAAAAAACAGGATCATTCAGGTTGGAAAAGACCTCTGAGATCCACAAGTCCAACAGCAACCCATCCCCACCACTCCCACTACCCCTGTTCCCCAGTGCCACATCTCCACAGTTCTTAACAGCTCGGTTTTCTTAAACACCTCAGTTCCTGCTCCTGCCATGAACCCACATTAGGTACATTCACTCACCACCACTGTCCAAAGAGGCTTCTGCAAGCCTCTGGGTGCATTTCTCTCCATTCCTCTGGCAGTTGCAGTATCTCCAGGATTCCATTGGCTCCTACCAAGAGGCAGAGAATAAGGGACTGTGCTGGGAGTCCATGGGGAAGGTGGACAGCCAGGAGTGCCTCAGTGCAACAGAAACCAAATAAAAAAAAGTTGCTAATTAACAAGGTGTCCTTAAACAGCAAGTTCTGGGAAATACAGGGGATTTATCCTTGCTGTTGGGTGCTGGGTTGACGTCAAAGTGAAGCATGCTTTGGTGACTGAACTTAGCGCGGTGCTGCTGTGGCACTGACCTCTGCGTCCCACGTGGAGCTGTCAGGGGAGGGTCTGGTGGGGATGAGAGAAAGGTTCTTCCCCTGGAAGAGGCTGCCCAGGGCAGTGGAGCATTTAAGGCATGGGGCAAGGGTTGAACAACTGTAGCTCATGAGAGTTTGTGGATGACAGCTTGTGCACCCCAGAGAAAGGCAGGAGAAAGTAAGCTAAGCTGTTTCTGAGGTGTTTGAATATGTCTGCTTGGATGTTCCCAAGGAGGTTTAGGGGGATGTCCCTCTGTTCTTGGCTCTGGTGGGGCTGCACCTCCAGTGCTGCGCTCAGTTCTGGGCCCCCTGCTATGAGAAAGACATTGGAGCATGTCCAGAGGAGGGCAGTGGAGCTGTGAAGGGTCTGCAGCACAAGACTAGTGGGGAGTGGCTGAGGGAACGGGATTGTTCAGTTTGGAGGAGGCTACAACCTGAAAGCAATTGGTAGCAAGGTGGAAGTCAGTCTCTGAACCCAGGCAACAGTGATAGTAAAAGAGGGGATGGCCTCGAGGTTTGTCAGGGGAGGTTCAGGTTGGATATTAGGAACTATTTATTCTCTGAAAGAGTAATAATGCATTGGCACAGGCTGCCCAGGGAGGTGGTGGGGTCACCATCCCTGGACGCGTTCCAGAACCATGGAGATGTGGCAGGGGGTCAGGGGGTGGGGTGGGGTTGGCCTTGGGGATCTCAGAGGTCTTTTCCAACCTGAATGATTCTAGGTCCTCTTTGGGACAGGGCTTGGTCGGGAGCATTGCATTTTGTCACCCTGCCACCAATGCTCCAATGAGAGCCTTAAGTGCAGAGGAACGATGGATTCTGCTCCACTCTCAGACCCCAGCTGCAGTGCTGCGATGGACTCAGGGGCATGCAGGATTAAAACAAAGGCCTCCTGTTTCTTTTCCATTTTTTCCTCTTGCCACTCCCACCAGCAGCCCCCACCCGCCTGACGCACGGACCCTCACCGCTCCGCTGTGGGGGCGCGGCCAGCCAGAAGGGGCGCGGCCAGGCAAAGGAGGGCGCGCCCCGCTCCCCAGCGCTCCTCCCCGCCGCGAGGTGGCGCCGACACACACAAGATGGCGGCAGAGGCGGCAGGAGCTGACGGGCGCCCCTGACAACCAGCCGCCATGTTGGTGAGGGCGGCGGCCGGCCTGCCCGGGCTGCGGCGGCTGTGGGGGCGCGGTGGGAGCGGGGACGGCGCCTGGCGTTGTTTCCCGCTGGGCCGGGCGCTGCTGAGCGTGCGGGGCGCCGAGGCGGCCGTTTTCCTGCAGGGGCTGCTCACCAACGACGTCACGCGGTTGGTGGCGGTGGGGGAGGGCCCCGCGGGGCCGCCGCGCGCGCTGTACGCGCATGCGCTCAACGTGCAGGGCCGCTGCCTGTACGACCTCCTCGTGTACAGGTGAGAGAGGGGGGAGGAGCTGGGCGAGAGCATTGCCGGGCCGGGGGCGGAGGGGCAGGCCGTAATTCCACCTTACTGCCAGCGGGCGGGCCTTGGGATCTCAGTGCGCTTACCCAACCTGTAAGGGGCTGTGAGTGTTGTGATACAGGGTGCCGAGCGCTGCCCCTGGCATTTGCCGGATTCAGACCAGGGTTGAGATAATAGAGCCTGTTTGAAGCGCAGAATCGTTTGAGTTGGAAGGGATTTGAGTTGGATCTCTAAAGGCCATCGGGTCCCAGGCACCCACAGCTCCATCAGTGCTCACAGCCCCGTCCCCT